AAATTATAAATACTTATATCCGCCTAATAATTGTCATTACATGAAACCTTAAGTAGCAGATTTTAGTATTATAGAGTTCTCTCAGTCAGTGTGTGTTTATCGAAAAATAAATACGCTTGAAATTCACCTTCGTAACTGTCGTGCGCCAACGGCTTAGGGGTAGAACTTCCGACTGACGCCAATTCAGCCGGGTTTCGATTATAGCTAAAGGCAACCGGATGTCTAGCCACAGTGATGGTCTATGATGCAGCGAAACAGTCTGTGTATGGAAGATATGAAGATATATATATATATATATTGAAAACTCAGCCCCTGACAATTGCATCGTGTTTTATTACCCCCATTTACAATAGTGTCCAATGTATTTATGATGATTGTGATATACCCATTAGTGTTCATAGGTACAGTATACAATAATTATAATATATATATATATATATACATATATACGATCGCAAAAACGTGAAACCTAGAGTCACAAACTCACATCAATCCAATCAAATATGTTAGTTCTATCTCTGATATTGAGCGCTTTCTAATAAGTACCGCGCATATAATCCATAAATATTACATATAATATATTACATATATATATATACTCAACTATTTATATTTAGATAAGTTTATACCCTGAATCAATCATAAAAATTAAGAATATGGCATTAGTAGATACTAAACACTTCAAATACGTCAGTGAATGAGTCAATCGAAACACATTTAGTATAGGAGATAAGGAAATCAAGCAAAGAATACGAAGAGATAGTTTCGCACAACACTTTAAATTGCTACAAAACCAAAACGTTAACCTGAAAACTTAAGTCATAATCTTAAATATCGTTCTTAGTTCGAGACTTTCATATGTATGTCAGTCATGGTGACAAAATCCGCCCAGAAATATCTAAACCTCTTTTTCAGATCAATGGGTTTGTGCGAGTGAAGTCTATAGGTTTTGACGAAGATCATCCGTCTTCGAAACTTGTGAACTAGCATAACAAAAACCACATCATTTGAGTTCCTTCAGCAGCAGTAACAGTTAAAAATATGTCACATGTAACTCAAAGAGAAAATAATGACATAATCAAGATGTTAACTTTCCACCCTACTTCAAATAAAAGTTTAGGAAGGAAACGCCTGTCAATATGGGAACGAGCGATAACAGCTACTCAGCTCGAGAAACTTAATTTCCTGAAAAACTTTTTTAAGGGAAAGATTTTATAGATATCAACCGACTGGATACTCGGTCAATGAAAGTCAATTTTTTCCTTATAAGGAAACGTCTGATATTACTATCACCGCTAACATGCGCATTCAACGAAAATCAATGCTAAGACGCATACAAGGAATATCATATTGTATGTTTATTAGATGACGCATTTGTCAGCTGTCATTAGTTTCTAACAAATATTTCTTTCATCGTACTTTCCTTTGCTTTTTATCGCAATTACTCAAACTGTCATTCTACAGCCGTTAGGAAAAATACGGATATGGAATAAAGAGCCAGATTTCAGCGATGCCCGAACTTACATTCCCTTATTGTGATAGCCAATCTAACGCTTGAGCTTCGGAAGCCAGCAACTTGAGCCACCATAAAATAAATACAAATCAAAAAATTAAAAATAACACGCACATCAATGTTCTTTTAAATAATTAAAAAATATTTAAAATACTATATGTTAAATCATATTTTGCGAGCCAGAGATCAGTAAAATCTACTGAGAACTATTTGGTGAGTATGATCCATACGTACCAGTATACGGATTTAGTGATCCAACCTCGTATTTGTTCGTATTTATTTATTGATATCAGTAGTTCACAAACTTTTTACCAAAACACAACCCTAAGTCCCTACCCCTCGATGTATTGATTGGAGTTTCTTGGAATATTGCGTGTCCAATGAGTATCTTAGCATTTCCTACAATAATTGTTATATAAATTGGATACACTGTCAAGTGAAGGCAAGATACACTTCAGGTACAATGTGTGGATTCAGATGTGACGCCGTCACCTTTTGCCCCACTTTTTTAACACCGCTCTTTTGGGTCTTTTTAAACTGATACCGCTCACTTTGGGAGTCACTGCTTTATAAAAAGGTCTACATGAATATAAGTGTTTGCGTATTTATCCACATTTTTTAGGGTTATTTCAATATAATTGTATATATTCAATAAATCAAAAAGTGACTTATCAAGTCAACCGACTCAAGAGTTTCGCGTCGAAACGCTCATTAGGGCCAGATGTTATATTGCTTAACAGTTTTTAGTGGTGTGTATATATTATAGGACTGTTTGCATGGAAATATATCAAAATCAAAAGCTAATTATGCTTAAACTTATCATTCATTCCTTTTGCTTAGAAAGGGATGACCGGAAGGACTTAATATAAATTGACTCTACAATCTTAATGTGAAAATCACAGTGAGCCTTTATCAGTATCGAAAACATATCTAGGTTATAGGAAATGGAACATTGATAGTTGTTGATGTGCCAGGTCCTATGACCTA